AAGGGGGGCTTTGTGGGCCGTCCCCCACGCCCCACCGGGGTCGCCAGCTGCCCCCCACGAGCGGCTCTCCGGCACGGCCACGACTCCTGGACACAGAAACCAATCTCTTAACTATCTAACTTTTAATAGAAATTCTTCCAGGGTTAATAAGCAAAATAGCAGAAATCCAAAACATCATTTTATTCTTAAACCAAGTTGTAGAAAGCAAATCATTTCACAACGCTGTTTCAGCATGTCTGATTGGGGGGGGGGTGGGTCGTAAACTCTTAACAATAATTGTGCATCTTCTATCGAAATAACCTATCTAGTCAAAGTAGATAGAGTATTAACTAGAACTCATCTACCTCACAAGAATTGGGAGGGGTGGGAGGTGGGGGTCTATTGGGGTTCGGGGTTAAAAATGAGTATTGGTAAAGGGAAATGTGTTCGGTATCTACATGACTGAGACCTAAACCCGAAAGCTCTGTAACTTTTCCCACAGTGATTCAATAAATAAATAAATTATAAAAAAAAAAAAAAAAAAAAACAACAATGAGATATCTCACACCAGACCGGCCCACATCCAAAAGAACAAAAGCAACCAGTGTTGGCGCAGATGTGGAGAGAAAGGGACCCTCCTTCACTGCTGGTGGGAATGCTAACTGGTTTGGCCCTTTTGGAAAACAGTATGGACGATCCTCAAAATATTAGAAATTGAGCTCCCTTTTGACCCAGCATGACCACTCCTGAGAATATATCCCAGAGAGGCAAAAAAGTATAGTCAAAGTGACATCTGCAATTGTTTCTTCATTGCAGCACTCTTTACAATAGCCAGAATCTGGAAAAAACCTGAGTGCCTGAGAACATATGACTGGTTAAAGAAACTTTGATACATCTACACAATGGAATACTATGTAGCTGTCAGAAAAGATGAAGTCATGAAATTTACATACTAGTGGTACTACATAGAAAGTATCATGCTAAGCGAAATGAGTCAGAAAGACAGGAACAGACATAGAAAGATTTCATCCATCTGGGGAAATAGAAAGTAACAAAATACTAGACTAACACCCAAGAATAGGTGAGATAAGTACCAGGAGGTTCATTCCATGGACTGGAGGCTAGCCACACACGCTAGGGGAAAATTCAGTTTAGAGAGACCAGAGCACCAAATAAAGGGACTTGCGACTATCCTCCCAGGATGGGAGATGCATGCTGAAAGTAGACTATAAACCGAACATGACTGCCACTCAATGCCTCTTTTGCAAACCACACCTCCCAAAAGGAGAGAGAGTAAAAAAGGGAATCCCCTGCCCCAGAGGCAGAGGGGGTTGGGGGGATGGGGTATGGGAGCGACACTGGGATAGTGTGGTGGAGAATGGGCACTGGTGGAGGGATGGGTACTCGATCATTGTACAACTGAAATCCAAGCCCCAAACATTGTAAGTCAACAACTGTATCTCATGGTGTTTCACTTATAAAAATTAAAAAAAAAGAATGCATAGCTGCCTACCTATTCGATGGTCAGATTTCTTCTTCAAGACCCTGAACAAACGGTTTGAGGCTCTTCTTGTTCCTGTAGCGAGCAAACGCCATTGGGCTACACTAGCACGTGACAGGGACAAATGGAGATATTACTGGTGCCCGCTTGAGCAAATCGATGAGAAATGGGATATCAAGTGATCAAGTGATCAAGAAGGATAATATTGTCAAAATGAGCACACTATCTGAAGCATTATACAGATTCAATGTAACGTCCTCCAAAATTCACATGACATTTTTCAAGGATTTTGACCAACACTACAAAAATTTGTACATTTGCTACTAAATGTTGTATGGAATAATAAAACTCCTAACCAGCAAAAGTAACTTGGAGCAAAAAGAACAGTGGAGATATTACACTCCAATATTATTTATACTTCAATGACATGCAATCAAAAGTATCCTGTGTATATACACCACTATACAGTGGTAGTGGTACACTGGTAGACCTAAAATCAATTGAATGGAATTGAGAGTAGAAAAATAAACATTCATATATGTGAACAAACAATCTATGACTAAGGAGTTGGGTACATGGTATGGAGCCAGGAAAACTTCCTCAACAAATAGCACTGGAAAAATTAGATAGTCACATCCAAAACCAAAACCCCATATCTTTCTCTCACCATACATATAAAATAGTTCAAAACATATTAATAATTTTAAGATTATTCTATAATCCATAAAATACATTAAGGGAAACCAAGGCAGAACACTGCAGGATATGAAACACATGTGCTTTTACTGATTTTTCTCTATTAATCAAGAAAATAGAAAGTAATCAATAGTAAATGTGATGACATTAAACTGAAAAAAAGCTTTAGCAATGTAAAATAAAATCAGGATAAAATAAAAGTATAGCCTACTAAAGGAAAAAAAATATTTTCACATAGTATATCAGATAAAGAGCTAATATAAAAGATAAACAAAACACTATTTTGTTGGCGTACAAGGAGCTTAGGTTTATCAAGTTGCACCCATCACAGTGCTCCTGAGTCACTCCCATTACTTTGTTTGTCCGTAACCACTTCTATGCTCTCTTCCCCAACCAATTTGTAAGGTCTCATCCTTCTAGGACACTGAACTTGTACTGTAAGTTAATATTACCTTTCTCCTCTCCTTATGTCTTTTGAATAGTTTGCTTTAATGCTATGTCCTTTTTGTATAGATACAGGAAGACAATTAATATTATGCTTTGTAACTTAGAACTTAATTGGCTTTGAATATTATTTACTCCCGTGCATCTGCTTTCTCAACTTAAGCCTCAGTTGCCCTCACTTCCTAGCGCCCCAAGTACAGGGTCCCGACATGGGACTGGATGGAACCAGGGCAGGCCAGTAAGTTATGTGCTACCCTGGCATCGCGATGGGCCAGGCCAAGGTGCCACGATTCTTAACTATAGGTTAAGAGTTTGATCATAGGCAAATGCTGTCATGATCCAAAAGTAACGACAAGACTAGGACCCTGCTGCTAAGAATAGGCCTGAGCATTGCAGTCTGAGATTGAGATGGCCCTAGGAGAGCAATTCTATAAGCTCAAAGTATTTCTTACTGTGTCCATACAAAATGATTTATATTATGTATGCTTATATGTTGGTCGGACAAGGAGAGGAGAAACACATCCAAGGAAATCTTTTCTAGGGTGGGTTGATCTGCTAAATGAGAATCTGTCCTAGAAGCAGTTTTCCTGTGTGTCCTGACTAGCTTGGTTAAGACTGAACCTTTCCCCCCTTCAAACTTCCTTCAGTAAATGATTTCAGTATATTGAGGCAGTTTCCCTTATCTCACAGGAACCAAGCTGGTCTTAGGTATGCAGATCCCAGGTGCTAAACCAGGCCTGATCTTGGGGATGTAGATGCCTGGCTCCAGGCAGGCTGATCTTTGAGAAGTAGGCTCCAAGCTCTAGCAGACTGGTCTTTGATGTGCTAATCCAAGTAGCTTGTAAAAGGTGAGGCCAAGATTACTGGCCTGTGGATGTAAAGAAACAATGTGGATTAAAGAAACAATGTATGGTTTGCCTCAAGGTTCTTTGATATGCCAAACACAGTAACAAGTCTCAAAAGGGAGACATTACTGGGCCCTCTGGAGCAAATTGATGAACAATGGGAGGACAGTGACAGTGACAGTGCCTCTTTTGCAAACCACAACACCCGATAAGAGAGAGAGAACAAAAGGGAATGCCCTGCCACAGAGGCAGGGTGGGATGGGGGGGGGATGGGGGGGAGGGATACTGGGATCCAAGGTGGTGGGAAATGGCCTCGGTGGAGGGATGGGTATTTGATCATTGTATAATTGAAACCCAAGCACAAAAATGTGTAAGTCTGCAACTGTACCTCATGATGTCTCACTATTAAAAAATTTTAATAAAAAAATTAAAAAATAAAAAAGAGATAAAAACTGCAAAATTCTTTCATAAAGAAAAACTTCTCTCATTCAAGCTTGAGGAGACAACTATGTACTTATAAAAGTAGAAATGTAGCTTATTTCTCCTCTTTTTGAATTTCTAGATGGCATACCTCAGTGATTTGTGGAGTTAGATCAACATAATTATACTACAATAAAGAAATTATAATTAAAAAATGTTCATCAACCACAAAAAATAAATCCATATAAATAGAGAAAAAGTTTGGCAGTTCCCCAAAGAAGACTCACCAGGAGGCTTTGCAGGCATAAAAAAACTGTTCATCATCACTTATTATCAGAGAAATGCAAACCAAAGCAACAATGAGGTATCACCTCACACTGGAAAGATTGGCCTTCATCAAAACAACTGGACACCACTGTTTGTTGTGATGTGGCAAAAAGGAAACCTAATTCACTGTTGGTGAGAGTGCAGTCTAGAGTTTGGCCTCTACAGAAATCAATATAGAGACTTCTCACAAAAAATACTGTTTTCCATATAACCCAATGATTCACTTCTAGGTATTTACCCCAATAACAAAAACTGTAAAATGTATATTCATAACTATATTTATTGCAATATCAAATTACAATAGTCAAGATACAAGAAATATCCAAATGTCCAATAGAAGAGAAATGGATAGAATTGTGGCATATAAGCACAAATAAATATTACATAGCTTTAAGAAAATGTGAAATATTGAACTTTTGAGCACCTTGAATGGGACTGGAGGATTATATTAAACTGAAGTCAGAGAAAGAAGCATAGGTACAAATTATACCACTCACCTGTGGTATAAAGCGAAACAAAACAAGGGAATAAAAATACTGGATGATGGCAAACTTTTGGCCTTCAATTATAAAACTATGTGTCCCTATAACAAAAACAAAACTGATATTACCAAATCATGTTACAATGACATGGGGGTGAAGGAAGAAGTCAACAACCTGAAGTGACTTCAGGTCTGAGATGGAGTGTACTTGTTCACTTGTGATGATAGTGAAGATTCCATGATATCTAAGCTACAACAATCTTATTTAAAATATAAAATAAAATGTAATTTTAACATTAGCACTTACATGTAAATTTTCTGTTCCTCCCTCTTCCATTGGCTCATCAACAATTTTAAGAACATTCACCTGAAAAAAAATCATTCAAAACATAAGTTCAGAAGTATTCAAACTAAAGTAATAATAAGAAAATTATACAAGGGCTAGCTTTTCAGACTCTAACAGATTTCATACTTACTGAACCACAAGATGATACAGAGGGTACTGAAAAATATTTAAGTAGATTCCAGATTGCCCTGGATAATCTTTGAATTTCATGTTACTTAGTGTTTCATGTTTCATGTTACTTAGTGTTTTACTATGATAGATGAGTATATACTACATATGACTTTTCTGCATTGAGTCTCCACTTCCAAATATGTATGGACATAAAAATTGCCAAAGAAGATATTTATTGTGGTTAAACATTGAAAAATTAGAATAGAAGGATTTTTATAAAATTGCACTGTTAATTACTCTCTATTCAGTTCAGTTAAAATTTGAATTGCTATAAACAAGTAAAAAGAAACTCTAGAAAACTTTATGTTGGGGCTGAATCAATAGTACAGCATTTGCCTTGAATGAGTCTATACAGGGTTGATCCTAGGCATCCCATATGGATCCTGGGGACGATAAGGAGTGATTCCCAAGTACAGAGCCAGGGGTAACCCCTGAGCATCTCTGGGTGTGACCCGAAAATTCAAAACAAAAGATAAACATATGCTGCCATGGAAAAAAAACAAAATGATTTCAACATACAAATCTCAGTAGGTAATAATTATTCCTTTCAAAGCACAACATTAATAAAAACTATAAAATTATGGGGCCTAAATAATAGTGAGGTGGGTAGGGTGCTTGACTTCTACATGACGAATCTGAGTTCTATCCATGCATGCCATAACATCCCCAAGCCTTCCAGGAGTGATCTCTAAGTGGAGAACTAGGAATAAGCTCTGAGTACGACCGTGCGTGGCCCCAAAAGAAGGAAAAAGTATAAAGTACTTAAAAATAGTCTACAAGTTATGAAATATGCGCCAAATATGTCCTATTTTTGTTCAATAAAGAAGCATTCTAACACAATTTTGTCTCTGTAAGAGTAGATCTGAGCAGTTGACAAAAATAAAATTACTTGCTCAGGGTCAGACTACTGGCACAGCAGGAAGGGTTTTTTGCTTTGCATGTGGCCAACCTGGGTACAACCCCTAGCATCCCATATGATCCCCCAAGCACTGCTAGGAGTAATTCCTGAGTACAGAGCCATGAGTAATTCCTGAACATTTATATATAGTCCCCCCCCCAAAAAAATTTAAAATTCTATTTCGACTTTTAAAGAAAAATTTTGTAAACCAAACATCTAAAATATGAGTCCAGAGAAGAAGGGAGAAGACAGGAGTAGAGAAACAGAAGAAAAAGTAGTAATAAATTAAAAAAGAACTTCTGTTCACATTCAATTTGTGTAAATGTATCATAAATTTATTATGAACTGAAAACTAAACAAATGCAAACATAAACTTGAGGGCTCTGAATGTTAAACCGATTAATAGCAGGCAAACTGGGAATAAGATTAATATGAATTGGGGGTATGGTGCCACGAGCAGGTCAATCTGCACCTGTGAGGCGATTGCATCAGCAGCCTGATGGCGCCTTCAGACTTCCAGATATCCCAAAATTGCTGCTGTGCCTTTGGCCAGACCCCAAAAACTTGAAGGAAAGTTTACCAAGAAAGTGAACGGCCAAAAGTTAGGTATGTGGGAGACACACCCACAAACCGTCTCTGGCTCAGCTATATCACTGGAGGCATGGACTCTCTGGTTCCTGATTGAACTGCTTGACGGTCATGATCCCAGAGATCAGAAACAAATCTCGAAACCCAACGGCTTTTGGCAGAAATGCATCTTGTTCTGCAGCAGCATGAAGGCGCTGGGCCACCACAGGTGAGAATAGGTTTCGTGCCTTTGCCTGTTCCCCCTGGTGGCCCTGTGGTCGTGATCCTCTAGAGGCCACTGGACAGTCAGGTTTCGGCCCCCAGTGATGAGATACAGAGGGCCTCACAGGATCGGGGTGGAGCCGGCCCTCTCCTCCCAATCCCGAGACCCCTAGTCGCTGCCCACAAACTGCCTCTCTGGCTCCTGATCAAGCTACTTAATGGCCATGATCACAGAGACTCAGAAACAAATCTCAAAACCCAGCAGCTTTTGGCAGAAATGCGTCTGGACCGTGCAGCAGGTTACTGTCGCCGGGCCACCCAAGGGGGGAAAGGGTGCTGTCCCTCCGCCTGTTCCCCCTTGGTGGCCTGGTGGCCACCATCTTCCAGAGGCCATTGGACAGTCAGATTTGGGGCCGCAGTGACGAGACACGCAGGGCCTCCCGTGATGGGGTTGGAGCCGGCCCTTTCCTCCCCGTCCCAACGAGACCCTGAGTCACCACCCACAAACGGCCTCTCTGACTCCTGATCAAGCTGCTTAATGGCCATGATCCCAGAGACTCGAAAACAAATCTCGAAACCCAGCGGCTTTTGGCAGAAATGCATCCGGACCCCGCAGTAGGTTACTGTATCTGGGCTACCCAAGGGGTAAAGGGTGTTGTCCCTCCGCCTGCTCCCCCTAGGCAGCTCAGTGGCTGCCATCTTCCAGGACATTGGACAGTCATGTTGAGGCCCACAGTGATGACACGCGGGGCATTATGGGATGGGGGTGGAGCCGGCCATTTCCTCCCCATCCCAATGAGACCCCAAGTCGTCACCCACAAACGGCCTCTCTGGCTCCTGATCAAGCTACTTAACAGCCACGATCCAAGAGACTCAGAAACAAATCTTGAAACCAAATGGCTTTTGGCAGAAATGTGTCCGGTCCCTGCAGTAGGTTACTGGCACCAGGCCACCCCAGGTGGAAATAGGTTTCTTGATTGGCCGGTTCCCCCTGGCGGCCTGGAGGCTGCCATTCTCCAGAGGCCACTGGACAGTCTGGGCCCACAGTGACGAGACACACGGGCCCTCACGGGATGAGGATGGAGCCGGCCCTTTCCTCCCCATCCCAATGAGATATCCTGAGCTGCTACCCACAAACGGCCTCTCTGGCTCCTCATCAAGCTGCTAAATGGCCATGATCCCAGAGACTCAGAAACAAATCTTGAAATGCAGTGGCTTTGGGCAGAAATGTGTCTGGACCCCACAGTAGGCTACTGTTGCCAGACCACCCCATGGGGGAAAGGGTGCTGTCCCTCCACTTGCTCACCCTTGGCAGCTCGGTGGCCAGCATTCGCCACAGGCCCTTGGACAGTCAGGTTTGGGCCCGCAGTGATGAGACATGTGGGGCCTTATGGGATGGGGGTGGAGCTGGCCCTTTTCTCCCCACCCCAACAAGACCCTGAGTCACCTCCCATGAATGGCCTTTCTGGCTCCTGATCAAGCTGCTTAATAGCCTTGATCCCAGAGACTCAGGAACAAATCTCAGAACCCAGCAGGTTTTGGCAGAAATCCCTCCAGATTTAATCGTTAAAATTTTGGAATTTCAAAATCGCACGGCCACTACTGCAGCCACACGACATCATATGTTATTGTTAACCAGCAATAGAAAACAAATTGTCTACTGTTGTCTTTTCAGCAGATCTGAGTGTTGGGGTAAAATCCCATATAATAACGGTGGGTTTGGTGTCAAAATATTGAATGTGATCAAAGTAAAGAGAAAGTATTGTGGAAATCATCTGCCCCACAGGTAGGCGGTGGGTGTAGAATGAGGGTATACTGGGGTTTTTGGTGGTGGAGAATGGGCACTGGTGTACGTACGGGAGTTTCATTGTTTGACCAAGACGTATACCTGAAAGCTTTGTAACTGCTCTTGTGGTGACTCAATAAATTACCAGAAATGGGGGGGGGGGAAGTAAGGTGGAGTTCATGCACAATTCAATCAGCCTGATCAGTGGCTGAATAAATAGCAGTACTCCTACATAAAAAACAAAAAGATTAATATGAAGAATTGCTGATGCTTTAATACATTTCCAAGGTTTATATGACACCTCTATTTGTTGATTTTAACTCAAGGAGTTAAATCATTGAAATCTATATAGCACTGGAGCACTGTCTTCCCATTGTTCATCGATTTGCTTGAGCACGTACCTGTAATGTCTTGTTGTTACTCTTTTTGGCATATCGAATATGTCACAGGTAGCTTGCCAGGCTTTGCCATGCGGGCGGAATACTCTTGGTAGCTTGCCGGGCTCTCCAAGAGGAGTGCAGGCATTGAACCCGGGTCGGTTGCGTGCAAGGCAAATGCCCTACCAGCTGTGTTATCACCCAAAAAGATGAAATTTTGAGTTCGTGAGCAGAATTCCAATTTTTTCATCCAAAATTTATGATTCTCATCTCGGTTCGTTGTTGTCTCTAAAGCAAGACCAAATAAACCACCTTTCTGGTCATAAAAAAAATCAATGAATGAGGCCCATATAGGACAAGTGGGAACAGATAATACAGGAATAAAGGCTCTTACCTTGCATGTGGAAGAATTCAGTCCCATCCCACCTCGTTCTTCAAGAACCAACAGAAAACCCTCTCAGCAGAATACTGGAAGTAGCACCAAAGCACCGCCAGGTGAGGCCCAAAGAACCATAATATTGCAAGAAAAGTGTGGATGATAATCTTCTATTTTTTCACTATTTCTTCACTTTAAGTGAAATGTCAATGTGAAAATTTATGTGATAGCACAAACTATTAAGATCCAAAGAAATTCATTCTTCCTTCAGAAGGATCAGGTTAAAGAGTCCATGAAAACTGAAGAACAAAAAGAATATAATGGAGATGATACCATGGGAAAAGGAAATCCACTAAGACTTTCAACCACAAATTGGACATGTATAAAATAGAACCAGTGAAGCATAGCGACAACTGCTGAATCAACCACTATGCAAGTTTCTGGATACTCACTGCATCAGCACATGCACTGAGTGGCTCATGCAGGGTTCTGACCAAACAATCTGAAAACAGTCCACTGGAACCATCATACAGAGATGTCAAGTAAGAACTTGCATATCTGAAACTAAAGCAAACACTGTCTGCTGAAACAAGCAAACAAAGCCATGTATGATATATGGG